GGCTGCCTCTTGCACACCCCCTACAGGGGATTAAGCTCACAACCCAGGCTTGTGCCCTTGACCAGAATCAAACCCAGGACCCTTCAGTCCCCAGACCAACTCTCTATCCACTAAGTCAAACTAGCCAGGGCTCGCTTTGACACCTTTTTATCAGAAGGATGCTGCAAGACTAGAAAGTCATCCGTCTACAATATCCATAAGCCTCTGGGGTTATCATTATTACAAAGAAATGTGCATCAAACTTTCTATGCAGGAGTCTTGAAATGGTCTGAATGCTTTACTAAACTAGTCATAGAAGGCCCTGACATCCAGGGCTTTACCATTTGAAACAGTCCTTGATGCTAAAAGACTGTAGTAAACCTGTGGAGCCACACAGATTTACAGAGAATAGCTAACTTGCCAAGCCTTTGGACCTGGATACAGATCCTTCAGAGCTCTATAAGAATGTATTCATTCTGCATCAGGCAAGCTAATTGAATTTTTACAGATTTTTTTTTTTTCTAAAAGAACCCTAAGCTCTTTGCTGACATGAAGCTCTATAGTAAAGCCACTTAGTAATGCTAATTTCACGCTCAAAACTACAAGGTAAATTCTTAGGAGAGGAGGAGAAGCATCTGAAAGAGGAATGTTCTGCTCTGTGATAATGCACTTAGCATACTTATAAATGCAACCTTCAGGCATGGTCCCCAGACAACCAGATCTCTCTCATAATCTGTTTTCCCCTTTTGAAAGGGGATTTGTGCCAGGGAAGTGATCTACACAGATACGTCAAAAATCAGTGGAATCAAAATTACCAAAATTGCTGCTGAGTCAGAGGTGTTTTTAAATTTTGACAAATAGCAGATAGCTGCATGCTAAATGGTTAACACCCTTCCGTGGCGGTTTTGCAATCCCATACTTACAGTGTAGCTCTGTCACACGGAAATTACAGGTTCGGGTGAAATGACACTGACAATAATAATAGATTTTAGAGTGGTGCCATTTAAGAACTTTTAAAAACAAGTTTCAACATTTAGGCATTGAACATTACCACACTAGTCTTACTTCCTCCCTTAAAACATAAATGGAAAACCATGATTTCCCTAGTGTTGGCTCTGAGGAATACTTTGATTGTCACATAAATTATTGATGAAGCAGTTAAGAAAAATACGTCTCTCTTTAGCAATGTATGAATTTTAAAACTATATACCATAGGCTATTTGTTTTAAGTATATAGAAATACTCCTAGAGAGTCAAGTAATAAATTCAACTAGCAGATAAAAGCTATTGGAATACATTTCAAAACCAAGAAGGAATTTTTAAACTAGCAAAATTAACTAAAAGAAATTTAATTACATATATACATATATTTTATATTTTAAAATATGTACTACAATATTAGTCATACAATGCAAAGGAAGTACTTTTAGAACTGAGTTAAAATCAAAATTGACACATAACCCAAAATTGAAAAACCTGAACAGTATCATGACAAATCTAGACCAGCAAAAGGCAGATGGATATAGAGAAATATTAAAGGGCTGGTATAAGAACCAACATTTGTCAGTGTTCAGGCAACACTGTCCAAGACAGAAGGACCCCTGACCCAAAAGTGGTCTCCTATTCCTGCAGGAGGCAAAGCCAAGCAAGTGCATGAAAACCCATGTTCAGAATAAGAGTTTGGTTTCTATTGGTAGCTATTTTGACCCACCACCCCATTCTAGTGTATAAATTCTAGCATATTTGTTCTCAAATCTCTCATTAGTTTGTCTAATAATTACAAAATTATCTTAAGTTTTCTTATTATTAACCTGAGACTTACAATATGCATTTCTTCACTGAATTCTATTTATATCCTAACATTATTTACTCTTTGGTCTTACTTGAGACTTATCTATGGAGTTTACTGGATTCCCCTCCCCTATAGCCAATCATGTAAGAGATCAGTTGCATTGTATACTTGTATTTTGTGGTGCTCTAACAATTCCTCAGGTATACAGCTAACATTTATAAGCCAGTATGACACCATGACCAAAATTCAAGCTGTGTCATCTGACACATGGTTTGATACACAATCCCTCAACAGAACAGGATATGGGAAATTCAGGGCATGAGGGAAAAGAGAGAGAACAAGTTGAATGCATATCTTCAAAGTTATCAGAAAATATAGTTTGGGAAAATTGTTCAAAAATGTTCTGTTGGTAAACATTTGCAAATCAAGCCCATTGGTATATAAACCTATGAAGACATATAATTTCTAGTTTAAAAACATCTTCCTCCTTTATAAAAGCTTTAAGTTAATGTACTTGTTTTCCATGATATTCATAAACTATTTGAATTTTTGCATGAAATTTCTTTTAGTTTATAAACATATATATTCACACATATATCTAATAATATATATATATTAGCATTATACTTGCAACATCCCTAAAATTTGTACTTGATATGAAACCCATGCAAAATTAAGTACTTAATTTTTCCCCAAATTATTAGCTTTTCCAACTACAAACCCTAAACAATGAAAGATATTTAATATAACTTATAGCCCAGGCCTTAACAGTTTTACACTTTCATGTCACTAAAACTGAAGGGACCATATTCAGAAAGTTAAATTTTTTTAAAAATATATTTTATTGATTTTTTTACAGGGAGGAAAGGAGAGAGATAGAGGGCTAGAAACATCGACCAGTTGCCTCTTGCACACCCCCTACTGGGGATGTGCCTGCAACCCAGGTACATGCCCCCAACCGGAATCAAACCTGGGACCTTTCAGTCCTCAGACCAATGCTCTACCACTGAGCCAATTCGGTTTCGGCTAGAAAGTTAAATTTTAAGTCATTTAAGAATATATATAAACACGTGACTTTTTCCTTATTTATCTGATAGGCCATGTCAGAGGAGATTTCACCTAATTTAACTTTCATCCAGGTCCATTCATTGCATGTACAAGCTGATAGTCACAAAATTATATTCAACAAAGATGAATAGAAATAAGGTAAACAATATTATAAAGAACATAAAAATATGGTAATTGATGATGATATAATGCTAACATTTTTGGGCTAACCTCTTTACATGGACTTTTCAACAGATTAACCCATATTATATAGGACCTACTACTCTCCCAAGTTCTAAAGGTCAAGGCACGCAAACACAGAGATGTTAAGTAACTAGCCTCAGGTCACACAGCTACTAAGTAGCAGATCCAAGATTTGAATCAAAACAATCTGAATCATAGCCTAACACTCATCACCACTAAACACAGTGTCAAATCAATGCAGAAGCTTTTGACCCTTTTAGAAGTAAAACCCAGAAAGAAATTTATAATTTCAGGCAATTAGGTGACAGTTCCTATAAAGAACAGGAACTTAACTTTTTAAAATACGCCTATTCTTATAACAACTTATTATGAAATAGTTTTGAAACAGGAATGAGTATGCTCTTAACAAATTTAGTACGTCATTATAATACTTTTTTTTTTTTTTTTTTTTTTTTACAAACCAACCTGAGAGCACTTTTAAACTATACTAACATTTATAAGCTGATGCATTGGAGGGGAAAAAAACTTTGGTAAATCAACAATGAGCTAATTTAAAATCCTTTAAGTACTTAGAAGTAGCCATGAGGTATTTGTTCTTCTGAAAACTTTATTTTTAGACTGATTAGCATTTAGGTTCCTCAATGTGCTCTACAGAGAAACCTAAGATGTATGCCAATGAGCACTCTGATTTTGTAAGTAGTAGGAACATAGATCGACAGATAATCTATAGATGGTGTAACAAAAGGTGTGGAAAACACATCAACACACAAAAGGTAATTTCAAGGAGTCAAGTCCTTCTCTTCCATCCACAGGGAGCAGCTTCAAGGGCTAATGGTCTCTCCTTAGCACTGAGTTCCAGCCGTATTGCACATGCAGAGGACAGAACATAGATGTGAAAGCTGAGTCTCTTCCCACCACATGTACATATGGGCATATTTACATTTGGCTTTTCTGATACCTAAGTATGCTGATTCACTGGATAATTATGAGTTAAGTAACATCCCATGAGAGAGCTGTACCTACTCATTCATTCATACAAGTATAACAGGAAAAGACGACACAGTAGCCAAAGACACTTCAAATGTGAAATGCTACCTCCAACTTATACTTTGCCTAAGACTTGGAATGTAGACAATATTTTTAAAGATCTCATTAGATGAAGTATGCAAATGTTATGGATTATTGCCTACAAAGTAGTATAAGTACAGTTTATTGAATGTCAGTTGGATATAACTGCAGTATTGATTCCCATGGCTTCATATTTCCATGATAATTCTGACCCTTTTAAAATGTATAACTTGTGCAATTGGCTTTAAAAAAAAAAAAAAAAAAGGCGGGAAGATTTGCTTTCATTCTTTGAAGAAAGAATTATAGAATTGTGGGAAATATTGTTAGACTTACTTGGTATTGTAAAAATAAAAACTTAAGCACATAGTCCCCACATCACCCATCTCCCCTAAAAAAAAAAAAAAAAAAAAAAAAGTTCAAAATGCAGTCAACAAATGTTTTCTGAGTACCTACTGCACGCAGGAATAGCTCTAGCAGGATGTGCGCCAATAAAGCATCTAAGTTTCCAAGGCACGAAAGGGGAGAAAACAAGGGACTAAACTTAAGTATTTTCACGAGCAAGTTTATCATCCAGAAACGTATTAGAGAAACCTAAGAAAACAATTGCACAAGAGCACGTTTGTGTCTTGAGAACACGACTTTCAGCTGTGAGTTATAACGTCAATGATAAACGAAGGCTCTCCATCCCAACCATTGGCTTCGGTTGGTTCTTTACCGCTCCTTCATGTATTTGATTTTCTTCCACAAAGGATTGCACATCTTTAAAACACACACACACACACACACACACACACACACACACACACACACACACACACACACGATTCCTCTTTCCCCAAAACCAGCCCAGACCCTGGTCCTCCTGGGCGCGGGCACGTGTCTTTCAGAGCTCGGCTGGACACCCTCTCACCTGAAAAAAAGTTTGGAGATGACGCTGGCCTGTTCCAGAGGCGACCTCTGCATGGTCTCTGGGGACGCCGCCGAGGTCCTCGCCGCCGGGCCGCTGGGCTCGAGCTCCTGAGTGCAAATCGCCCCACTCCTCGGGGTGCCTGCCTCTCGCCCTTTTTTCTCGGACCTGCTGTGATGTCATTTGCTTCCCACTCCCCCCACCCCTCGCCCCACCAGCCGCCTCTCTCCCTGCGCTCCTTTCCCCGCCTCTGCAGCCCAGGTTCAAAGCCGGGCGCTGCCGGTCCGGCCCCACTTGTGCTCCAGCGACTTTCCCTCCCCCTCCGCACCCCCCACCCCCGGCCGCACCCCGACCGCTCCTTCCTCCTCGCCTCCTGCCCTCGCGTCTCTCTCTCTCTCTCTCTCTCTCTCTCTCTCTCTCTCTCTCTCTCTCTCTCTCTCTCTCTCTCTCTTCCCCCCCCCCCCCCCCCCGACTCTAACTCCCGACCTGCCTCCTCCCCTGCGCGCACTCCTTCCAAGTCCTGACGGTGCAGCCCCCGCCCAGCCTGCAGGTGAGGACAGTCGGGCGGCTCTCCAGGTCCCGCCACCCACAATGCGGGACGGAGGAGCCCCCGCGGGAGCTGAACCAGCCCTCCCCCTCCTCCTTTCCCCTCCCCGCTCCCCCCGTCCCGGACCCCCTCGCCTCCGGCTGCCGCGGGACCTCGGGGTGCGGTGCCGCCGCCAGCTTCCCCGCGCGTCCCCTCTGCTCCCTTTCCCTGAGGTCCCAGCCGTGCTCCTCACCTTCTCCAGGTTCCTGTTGAAGCGGGAACAAAAATATATCTTTCTCCCCCATCAAAATGCAGCCTGCGAGCGCCGGGAAGTCCCCTTAGCCATTCCCTTAAGTGTCCGGGAAGAAGGAAGCTGTGTAGGTTTCAGGTGAGTTCCAGGCGCAGATCTCAGCCCCCGCGGGTGACCGGTTATTGAGGGGACAGGAGGGGAGATGCCCTGCGCGGAGGTAACCGGACGTGTCCCTTTGCCATTACTCTCCCAGGATTTGTTCATTGTCCTACGTTTTTCAGACCGGGTTGCATTTTTTTATGTTTATTTTTTATTCTAGAGAGAGGGAAACCTTCGTTGGTTGTTCTTGTAAGTGCAATAACTGGGGATCAACTCGCAAGCTGGGCATATACGTCGTTGATGCTCTCACCACCTGAGTTACCCCCATCAAGGTCCCCACTTGGGTTTTTAAGAAAAGCTACTGTGAGTATTAACCACTGCAGGACATGTGGGAAGTCTGCAAACTAACCCGCCCTCCTATAGATCCCCAGACTAATGTGCCGAAAGGAATGCAAACAGTCTTTGAAGCAAAGGTAGCCCATTAACTCTGCCCTGACTCAGAAGCCACCTTCTCCGCTCCAAGGGCATCAGCTTCCTTTCCCAGATGAGTCCTGCTGCTTGGATTGTGTGCCCGGCTGTGGGCTGTGGTTTTTAAAGAGCCAAGCCTTTAATTCCTGAATCCTATTGTGTAGAAAAGCACATTGATTTCAAATGGAAAAAACTCAAGTGAAAGTAAAAAGTTTGGTCTGGCTATTTTATTGCCTCTACCTCTAAGGCGAGAGTATTTGCTTGTGAGTTACCTTTTTGTTGATTTGTGGTCACCCAAATACAGTATAAATATGCATTTCATAATAATAGAAAGACAAGCACCTGTGTATATAAATTGAATGCATTCAGCAAGTTTTTATAGCTCCACTTTGCATTTCAAAGTCACCCTTTTTTATTTTAAATGGGTTTTTATAAACATTTAGATTTTATAATCCTAATTTTAATAGTAGAGAAAATAAGATCAACGGGATGAACCAAACTGCAGAAAGTCAGGTACCAGGAAAGAACGTAAGTATTTCTACATCACGATCCTTCCTTTAAAACTTGCATGTTTTCCTCTCCGGTATGACATACAAATTGGGGCCCTGTCTTCATTGTTGACTTTTCCCAGGTATGTGACTGAACTTTACCACCCCAGTACATAGTTTACTTTATAACTGCTAGTGTAACTCATCAGATATAATTCATTTTGAAATAAATTGGTAATCAGTTCCGCTTTGTTACCACAAAGCAATAAGAAGATTAAGAATTAATTCCAAAAAAAAAAAAAAAAGATCATAGAAGCTGACCATGATAATGGTTCCAAGAGAACCCCCAATATTTGTCACTCATCTCCTTCCTCTGGAAAGAATAAAAGAAATACTGCCTATTTTTTTTTTTTTTTAGTCCTACTATTTGCTAAGTATTATCACAAGTAGGCCTTACAACAACTATGTGAATAGGTTTGACCCCAATTTCCAGTTGAAGAAACAGACACGAGAAGTTAACTAAATGCTTCTAATGGTAGAGCTAAGATTCAAATCAGGTCTAATTCCAAACCATCACTTCTACCAATGTGCAATATTGCTTCTAATCAAACCATCCCTTGTGTACATATATGCTATTATTTACATGCCAACTCAGTCTTTCTCCTCACATTAGTTTCGTGAAATCATAACTGCTAGACCTGTTCTAGAATGAAACAAGAAAGTAGAAACCTATAAAACTAAGTAGGGACTGAATTTATTTTTAATAAATAACGTTTAGCTATAATATTCCATTAAAATGTGTGCATACACATGCACCTAGGAAACCTTAGATTTCTACCATAAAAGATTACATATTGTTTGTTAGTATTGTAAGACTTCACCATTATTCAGAATATTAACATTTTGAGCAGCCTTGAACAAATTAACTGAGACATGATATTCACGATTTTTGTCTAGGTACATACCACAAGCAAAAATTATAGACTTGTGCAAAAGTGTTCAAATATGGCTGAAGGGCATGACTGAAATCCTAAATGTGGCTTTGAGATGTCAGGAACATGAAAGAAATCAATGGACTAGATGAGAGTAGAAGGTGGTGGTAAGAAACAGTGAAGTTCTCTCCAAGCTGCTCAAATATCAACTCATAATATTTTATTATAATACTAGAGGTCCAGTGCACGAAATTCATGCACAGAGGGGGGATGTCCCTCAGCCCAGCCTGCATCCTCTCCAATCTGAGACCCCTCGAGAGGGATGTCCAACCTAAATGGGCAGTTGGACACCCCTCTCACAATCCAGGACTGCTGGCTCCCAACTGCTCACCTGCCTGCCTTCCTAATTGCCCCTAACAGCTTCTGCCTGCCAGCCTGATCACCCCTAATTACTCTGCTGCCAGCCTGATTGATGCCTAACTGCTCCCCGGCAAGCCTGTTTTCCTCTAACTACCCTTCCCTTCAGGGCTGGTCACCCCTAACTGCCCTCCCCTGCAGGGTTGATCACCCCCACTGCCCTCCCTTGCAGGCCATCTTGTGGTGGCCATCTTGTGTCCACATAGGGACAGGATCTTTGACCACATGGGGGCAACCATCTTGTGTGTTGGAATGATGTTCAATCTACATATTACTCTTTTATTAGATAGGATAGAGGCCTGGTGCATGGGTGGGGGTCAGTCGGTTTGCCCTGAAGGATGCCAGATCAAGGTGGGGGTTCCCTTGGGGTATGGGGTGGCCTGAGGGAGGGGCCTATGGTGGTTTGCAGGCTGGCCACACTCCCCAGCAACCCAAGCAGAGGCCCTGGTATCTGGAATTTATTTACCTAATACAATTGAAACTTTGTAGCCTGGAGCGGAGCCAAGCCTTTTGCTTGCTCCATAGCTGCCGCCATTTCTGTTTGGATTTGTTTACCTTCTATAATTGAAATTTTGTAGCCTTGAGTGGAGGCTTAGGTCGGCAAGGGCAGATGGAAAACTTGGCTTCTTCCATTGCTGGAAACCCAAGCCTTCCGCCTCCTCTCTGTGGCTGTAGCCATCTTGGTTGGGGATAATTTGCATACTCACTCTGATAGCCGGGTGAGCGTGGCTGGTGGGTATAGCAGAGTGATGGTTAATTTTCATATTACTCTTTTATTAGGTAGTATTATAATAGCTTACATTTGTTGACTACTTACCATATATTCCTGCTACCATGCCAGATACACAGCATGCTTTGCTTCTTCATTTTTTATTTATTTATTTTTAAAATATATTTTATTGATTTTTTACAGAGAGGAAGAGAGAGGGATAGAGAGTTAGAAGCATCAATGAGAGAGAAACATTGATCAGCTGCCTCCTGCACACCCCCTACTGGGGATGTACCCACAACCAAGGTACATGCCCTTGACTGGAATCGAACCCGGGACCTTTCAGTCTGCAGGCTGATGCTCTATCCACTGAGCCAAACCAATTTCGGCCTGCTTTGCCTTTTTAATCTTTATAACACCTTTCATAGGTTAGGTACCTTCTTCATTATTCATATATTACAGGTGAAGAAACTAAGGTATAAAAAGTTCAATATTTTTCCCTAACAAGTTGCAGAGTACTTAACATAGAAAACTGAGATTTGGACCTAAGCAAATCTCAAATTGCCTGAGCCCAAGCATTTAACCACTATACTTACTTCCCTACAAAATTTCCTAATGTTTTAAGCAAAACTGACCTTACATATGGTATAGACTACTAGCGGCCTGGTGCACAAAATTCGTGTGCTACGGGGGGGGGGGGGGGGGAGGTGGTCCCTCAGCCTGGCCTGTGCCCTCTCTCGCAGTCTGGGACCCCTTGGGGGATGTCCACTTGCCAGCTTAGGCCTGATCCCCCCAGGATTTCTCTTGCAGTCTGAGACCCCTCACTCATTACTGTCCACCTGCTTGCTGCTCCTTACTGCTGCTGTGGAGGCAGGAGAGACTCCCACCACTGCCCCTGTGCTTGCCAGTCGTGAGCCTGGCTTCTGGCTGAACGGCCCTCCCCCTGTGGGAGCACACTGACCACCAGGAACAGCTCTTGTGTTGAGCATCTGCCCCCTGGTGGCCAGTGCGCATCATAGCAACTGGTCATTCCGCCAGTCATTCTGCTGTTTGGTCAATTTGCATATTAGGGTTTTATTATATAGGATTAGGTGCCCATTTGTATGACATTTTTAAATTGTGATAAAATACACATAACATAGATTTTACCATCTTAAATTATTATTA